GTTTTTTATATGCTTTTTATGTTTTTCCCCATATTCTTTCTCCAGTCTTCTTGCAAAAGACTACTTAGATATAAGGATAGCTGTGTGAAAGACTTTCCTAGTTGTCATCCTTGAAAAAGCAATAATTTATAGTCTATTAGTTGAGTATGGGGCCCATGATATTCCTTAAACACAAGACTATCTAATTATCAATAATATATTTTTAGTGTAGATATTTCAAAATTTAATAGTTTTTATTAGCTGTTTTTGCTTGACCAATTTACAAATTGACCAATTATCAGTTCATTAGTTTGATACATTCTTTTACACTCCCATTTAAAAAGTATTGAACTTATTAATTAAAATAGTAACATTCACCTGGGTGCATTCTTTTCATACTCTGTGTTAAATGGTATACTTAAGTGACAGAATAATGTTCTACCTGGGAGAGAATTTTAGAAGTAGAAGCTCCTCCTACTTCTTCTATGAATATTCATAGTTTTAAATGTTTTGTTCAGGGTAACATAGTTTGCTTGTAATAGAGAGATGACTCTTAAGTAAGAAATCGACTAGCTCCATGTAGTAAGACAATGGCAATTTTTTGATTTTTATGGTAGTTGCCAACAGACTAAATCATTTGTATTTCTTGATTTAAAAGTGCTTTTGCCTATCTATTTCACCTTTCAGACTTTGTTATATTTTTAAGAGGATTGCTTCAGCGACAAAGAAGGCTTTTAGATGTAACAGTTTTCAAAATCCAATCAACAATAGCTGAAAAATGTTTCTACATCCTGACTTAATTTATTATTAAATGACAACAATTTTAATGAAGTCATAGTATTTACTTGTAACCTGCTATTGTAGCATTTCCTACTGGCATAAACTCTCTTCTGCTGCACAAAAGGGCAGTCAGTGGCCCAAGTTCATTACAGGATAAAGTCAAAAGGAAAGATTTATTTCATTTGGCATGGTTTTTCTGGAGCAATAAGAAAAGAAAATAGGTCTCTCAATATAAAATTTCATGGCCTTTTACAATTATGTGGTGACATCTCCATACAATTGCTTGAATAATACCAGCAACATCAACTGTCACTATCAAAATGAACAAGTAATTAAGAAAGCAAACGCTGGTCTTTCTTGTATAGGAATAGAATATTTATGTATTTAAAGTTGTTCACCAACAAGAAAAATAACCACTGACATGAAACATAATTTCCTGTGGTGCCTGAGGCAGAAAAGAGAAATAATAATGAAGATTCACACAGTTGCAACAAATTAAGTTGTAATTGTGCATACTAAAAACAATTACAGACTTTCTATTTATCAGGTCATATGATAGCCTCTTATCTCTTTTATTTATTTTCTGATTCTCTATCTTATTAATCACATTTTCTAAAAGCTTATGATGGAATTGGGAATCTCTTACTCTTATCAAGACCACATTTTCTATATTCTTACATCATAACGTGCTAGCATAAGCTAAAGAAGGCTAAGCCTTGGCTGGATAGTAGAATGATAGTAGATCTGATTGAAGCCGTAATAGTGTTAAATGCTGGCTCTCCAACCTTTTGATAAGACAGTGTTCAGTTTATTGTTTACTGAGGTGAGGGAAAAATGCTACCTTGACTGAACTCTGGTAGTTTTCTGTAGAGGAAAGTACAAGGTAGGATTTACTGAGAATATGAATGTGGTTTAAGACAGATGTTTCAATTCAAGGGTTTGTTTGGAATTGGATAAAAATCATGATATAAGAGTTTAGAGTTGAAGGATTGGCAGAAACAGTGAGAAGAGGATTTTAACATGAAGAATTTAATGATTCTTAGGGGTTGAACTCTCTGTTGATGCTTTTTATTGAAAAATTGGTGGGCCTTTGGGGGAAAGTCAGTGATGTAAAGTTTTTTGGAATTGTTAAGGTACACCAAAAAGACAATGAAATAGGAAAGTGATGTTAAAGTAGACAGTCTGCTGTTTGTGGGTTGGTGGTTTTGGGCCTCAGTCTCCCTACCGAGGGAGACAGAAGGATAGAATATTTTTAACTAAAGGCATAATCAGTTCAGATTTTCACTAATGTTTGAGGTGTTATAATCATGTATCAGATTTCTGGGGCCCATTATCTCAAGTATCCATGAAAGCCAGTTTTTTCCTCTTGAATGACCTTTTCTTTGTTGGAGAACTTGATAGGGCAGCAGATGTGCAAAGTCATTTAAGACTCTGGAAATCACATCTTTGAACACAGTAACACAAATAGAAAGATTATGGTCAGGGTTTGTGTCCACTCATTGGCCAGTGATCAAGAGTGCTCAATTCAACAATAGGATAAATTTCATCCCTATTCTGGAAAGCCCATAGAACCAGATACGTGATTCTCCAGCACTTTGGGAGGCTGACGCTGGAAGATTGCTTGAGCCCAGGAGTTCAAGACTAGCCTCGGCAATATAGAGAGACCCCCATCTTTACAAAACATAAAAGAAATTATCCAAGCATGGTGGCATGCACCTGTAGTCCCAGCCACTTGGGAGGCTGAGGTAGGAGGATTGCTTACACCCAGGAAATTGAGGCTGCCATGAGTCATGATTGCACCACTGCACTCCAGCCTGGGCAACAGAGTGAGTCTCTCTCTCTCTCTCTCTCTCTCTCTCGTCTCTCTCTCTCTCTTTTTCTATAGGAACAATGCCAAGTCAAGAAATGCTGTTTCAAAAACAGAAACAAACAAACAAACAAACAAACAAACAAAAAACTAAACCAACAAACAAAAAACCACCAGATATGGGATTCTTAACCAAATTACCTAATTTTCTGCTATCTTTATTTTTAGGCAGGCTACTTTGGGTAACATTACAGAAGCATCTTCAGCCTGTGTCTCAAAAGGATATTCGGGACAAGGTTTAGATGGAAAGAAATCTCTCATGAACTAAAATATTTTCAAATTTGTCTCAAGTACAGTATCCTCTCAGCAGCCTCAAAATGACAGGGTAAATAGGAGCATTACTGAGAGATGGATTAAATCAGCTTATCATTGTAAATTCCTCCATATTTGATGATGACTTGGGAAGTCTCTTTTGTTTTCTCCTTGTAAGATTTTATCTACTTATTGAACATCAGTATATGCACTGAAAGATCTAGTCTTTTCCATGTATCTTGGCATCAACAGTAACTTGGGCCTGCTCCCATATGTAGAGCATTCATAGATCAGAAAATAATTAAAATATATATTATTTGGTATAAATAATGATAAAAAATATTCAATGAAAATGGAAATAAAAATTGTAAATTTTACCAGGTGGTTCATTTATTTATTTATTTATTTATTTATTTATTTATTTAGAGATGGAGTCTTGCTCTGTTGCCCGGGTGGAGTGCAGTGGCGTGATTTCAGCTCACTACAACCTCCACCTCCCGAGTTCAAACCATTCCCTTGTCTCAGCCTCCTGAGTAGCTGGGACTACAGGCACGTGCCACCACACCCGACTAATTTTTTGTATTTTAGTAGAGACAGGGTTTCACCATGTTGGCCAGGATGGTCTTGATCTCCTGACCTCGTGATCCCCCTGCCTCGGCCTCTCAAAGTGCTGGGAATACAAGCATGAGCCACTGCTCCTGTCCCCACCAGGTTGTTCTTTTTCTTTTTTAACCTCCGCCTCCTGAGTTCAAGTGATTCTTCTGCCTCAACCTCCTGAGTAGCTGGGATTACAGGCATGGGCCACTATGCTTGGCTAACTTTTTTGTATTTTTCGTAGAGACAGGTTTTACCATGTTGGCCAGTCTGGTCTTGAACTCCTAACCTCAGGTGATCTGCCCGCCTTGGCCTCCCAAAGTGCTAGGATTACAGGCGTGAGCCACCGCGCCAGGCCTAGGTGATTCTTTTTAATAATACATTTTGATGAATGAAATACTCACAGTATTTTATTTTTATATCCATGATATTGATACGTTAATAAGGTGTTTTAGCATTGATTAGCAACTTTTTTTTTCTTTAAAAAGGTACATAAAGTATGTGTCTTGCAAGTAATGCTGTCTTAGATCCAAAAATATATTTTAGATGAGAAATATACGAATCAAAAAAATCCGTAGGGGTGATTTATTAATTCATGTGTCACTGCTTTCATGTCATGTCCATATAAAGAATTGTGAACAGCCTTCATTTCTCATTAGACATCCATAATAGAATCATGTTTGCTTCTTTGTCTTATTTTCAAAGGTAAAATATTTATCATCCTCAGTATACCGCTAACTACAATACTCATATTTCTTTATATGCATACATGAATTATATGGCAAACTTTATTGTTTTATGCCTATAGATGCATTTGTATGTGTAGATTTTGTCTAATCCCTACTTACTATGATCTTCACTATTCTCACATATAAAAGATACTACACTTGAGAGAAGCTTTAATTACTAAGAATTGCATTACTCATATTCTACATTTTTATACCCCTGTGAAACTAGGAGAAACCAGCTTCAACCATCCCTTAGAATATCTCCAAAGTCTACTTCCAATTCAGTCCTCTCTCCTGATGTGCATATACCTGTATTTCATGGCCTGCTAGCAGTTTTATCGGATGTCAATTATATGCATCAGATTTAACAGATCCAAGATTAACCTTATTCTTGCTGCCCATAACTTTGTTTTTGCTTCATATTTATTTCCTCTTTTGTGAATAGCACCAACATCAGTGCTGACTTCAAAATTTGAAACCAGGTGTCACTAGTTTTAATGGATTCTACTTTTTACCTGTTATTCATTCTCACATTTCTCTTTATAATTTTTGTTTTAGCCTTTATTCAGGCCATCATCATTTTCCTCTAACTTTATATGATCCAGTTGGTCTTTTATGACCTTTGGTCTGGTGTCAGTGTCCATTACTGCCATCTTTGTTGTTTTTTGTTTTGTTTTGTTTCTTCCTTTCATCCTCGATACAGAATTCAGAGCCTCTCTCAGATTTTTATCTTTTAACCCACACTACAAAAGCTTTCTATCATATAAACACTTTGATGATTGGTATTTATTTCATTTTAGATTTTGGAGTGATGGGGAGGAATCACCTGGTGCAGGTAAGAGCACAGCAGTTGAAAATGCACGAAGGGGAGGGAGAGAGAGAGAGAGAGAGAGAGAGAGAGTATTCAAGGGTTTCATTTTGTTTTCTCTTCTGGACTTTACTTTCTTCCCTGTAGCCATATTCTTTTTCAAATTTTGGGCACTATGAATTCTACTTTTCTAATTCAAGCTACGTACATCTATAGTCAACTTTCAGAGCTAAGTGTAGACTGACTCAATGAGCCCAAAGACACAGTCTCCCCCATCAAAAATGGCTTAGCAGAGAATTTTCTCAAATGAAGCAGGTCTGTCCCAAATGAATTTTCATAACAACGCCAGAGCAATAATCTAGACTCTATCTCTAGTTTGACCTCTTCTCATCTATTCTCTGTGTTATCCACAAGGTGTGCTGACACACCAAACTGATCTCATTCACTAACCTATTTAAAAGTCAATATTACCCATTACTTTCATTATAAAATCTGATTTTGTTGTCAGAGTGTACAAAGTTCTCAAGCTTCAAAACTCACCACTTTTTCTACACATTAAACTTGACTTCCAGCAAATATTTATTGAAGATTTACTGTAGGCCCTAGGATTCTAGTAACAAATATGAGATGTGCAGCATACAGTCTAATGGAGGATTCTATGTTTTTAAAAAAATGTTAATGAAGAAAAGAGCAGTATGCAGGACATAGCAATTTTGGTGGTAAAAAAAGATATCCTAGGGAAGTGACATTTTTCCATGAAGGATAAGTGGGTATTGATAAAGTGGCATGGTGCCAGAGATGGTTTAGAAACTTGGAACTCTTCGTGGAAAGTGTGACACGTGGTAGGGCTTCACAGAAGCCCAACATTCCTTGGCAGAGTAGGGAATCAGTGGCATCAGATGAGTGACTTGAATGCACCACATTCTTTCTCATCTATAAAATACTTCAAGTGCTGATTTCTTATCCTGAAATGATCTCTCTTTATTTACAGTTATATCACTATTCAACTAACAAAATAGATCTCAAACTCACTGATCTATTTGAATAATTAATATTTGTCCATGAGGAAGAAAGTATAATACTAGGCAATGATGATCAGGGCTAAAATAATGTATTATATTCAGGGGAAAGAAATATTTCTGTGGGTGCAGTAGGTGGGATAGGCCTTAGAAGAGGTTGTATTCGAACTATATTTTAGTAAATTGCAGTAGAGGTTGGGGGAGTGGTGACACATTCTATGAGCAGGGATCAATAGAAGGAAAAGATTGAAGAAAAAATTACCTAAGTGTAGCTGAAAAACAATAGAAGGTGGTGCCAACCTTTCAAAAGCTGAGATTTCTTAGGAATCATGTAAAAAATTTAAATTTCATAATTCTTTGTTTTTTTTTCATAGTTTCTTAAATAGAAACAAAATACAGCTTTGTTTATAACTTGTGATATGAAATAAAATACTAAGTATATAAATATTTGAATAATTAAAGAGAGTTTGTTCTTCACAATTATATGACTCTATTCTCTATGTCAGTAAAAACCATCATCAGGTTATTAAACAGAAGTGATAGCTGTATGAATTGGCAGTTAGCAATATACTTTTCTAAATAAAGATCTGCTTTATTTCTATTAGAATAGCCTTCAAGTTGTTCTAAATTATTTTCTAAAAAAAAAAAAAAAAAAAAAAAAAAAAAAAAAAAAATCTGGATGATTCTTCTAAAAAGTCTTTAAAAATATGTGTTTATAGGATAAGGAAGTGATGTATCTGCAGGAAATAAAAATAAATGTTAAATAGGAATCCTTAAAAGGAAATACTTATCAAAGACAGCTTCCTTTCTAACAGTAAATGTTAAGAGATAACTTTGTGTGTCTAATAGCCAAAACTGTATTCATGTGTTTTTCCCTAGTGAAAACTAATACAGATACTTTTCCTAGCTCAGTCAGTTCTTCCAGGAATTTTTGGTTTGTTTTGTAACTAACGTTGGAGAATTCGGACAAAAATCATTAAATTATGTTTAAAAATAATAATTTAGAAGAAAAAGAGACATTAGATATATTTCTTGTCCTACACTCTGTATATGAGGAAATTAAAATCATGGTACTGATGGTACGTCACTCAGTACCATCTAACTGGCAAATAACAGAATATAAAGTGGAAGGATTTGAAGGAATCTTTTGGATATATGTTTTTAAAAAATTAATAAATATTATAAATGTAAAAATTAGTAAAAGCTTTGCTAAGTGATTATGACTAAAAGTAGTATACTACAAGTCCCTTCTATGACACTCTTTAAGAAATTTGTCATTGACTATCTAATTGTTGTTGTCCATAGCTATAGTGATTATTTTCATTACACATCGTGAAACAATCAGTGGGAAGAAGACTACAGTTTTAATATAATTTTAAGCAAGGATATTGCTTTAGCAACTCTATGATCTTTAGAGAATATGCACATGATCAAATGCAGATCTAAAATTCCAAGTGTATTTTAAATTTTATTTTAATTATATTCAGTAATATATATTTATATGTGCTAATTTTGAGCTTAAAGGCATGATGAAAATTTTATTCTAGAATAAAGCAAAACTATACTCTTAATGATTAGAATGCAGTGTTATTCAGCCCTGTTTTGTAATGTAGCTTTTATTATAGCCATCAGGAACAGAAACTCATTTCTGTAAGCAGCATACCTGTGGTTTGTTATATTAGCCGGATCTTTTAGTATTGATGGGTCCTGCTTGACACATTTTATAGATAATACGCCCATAGGTTCTGAATCAAACAAGTATTATAGATTGATGTGCTAATCTAACTTTTACCTTTTCCTTTTCTATCTATTTTCAGTAGTCCTCAGGAAACCAATATATCTGCTAAAAGTACAAAAGCTTTAGCCTATTATGAAAAATGCAGTTTTGTTTTATTATGCAGAATTTTAAAGCTGAATCTGTTCTTTTTATTTTCCTCCTTCTATATTATTATTTTTCCCTGACCTATCTCTTTTTTCTTCTCCAACAACATCAAAAAATAAAAATAAAAAAAGAAATACTTTGATACATTTAATAAGTAATAGAATTCTGTAGGAAAATACATACAGTTGACCCTTGAACCACTCAGGGTTGCCAAACCCCCATGTGGCTAGAAATCCATGTATAACTTTTGAGTCCCCCAAAACTTAACTCTTAATAGCTTGTTGTTGATTGGAAAATTAATGATAACATAAACAGTCAACTAACATGTATTTTGTATGTTAAGTGCATTATATGCTGTATTCTTATAATAAAGTAGGATAGAGAAAATAAAACGTTGAAGACAATTAAAAGGAAGATAAAATGTATTTAATATTCATTAAGTGGAAGTGAATCATCATAAAAATCTTTGTTCTTTCATCTCCATATTCAGTAGGCTAAGGAGGAGAAGGAAGAGAAGGGATTGTTCTTGCTGTCTTAGGGATGTTAGGGTGCAAGAAATTTCTCTTATAAGTGAAACCACACAGCTCAAACCCCTGTTGTTCAAGAGTGAACTGTATTTATTTTTGATATAGTAAAATACTAAGTAAACATTATGAACATCAGAATGTCAAAATTGGCAAGATTATCAAAAACAAGGAAAGTCTGAGAAACTGTCAAAGCCAAGAGGAGCCTACAGAGACATGACAACTAAATAAAATGTAGTATACTGGCTGACATCCTGGACTAGCTAAGGGATATTAGGTAACAACTTTGGAAATCTGAACAAAATATGACCTTTAGTTAATAATAATGTATCAGCGTTTTTGTCCTTTATAACAAATGTATCATACTATCGCAAGATGTTAATAATATGGTAACATTTGTGTGTGTGTGTGTATTGGGGAGGGGTATTATATAGGAATCGTCTGTACTATCAGCTCGCTTATTTTGTAAATTCAAAGTAGTTTTTTAAAAATAAAGTCTATTAATGTAAAGAAAATAATAATGCTTAAAAATTATTTGTTTAGTGCTCACTTTCAAAGAAATTAGGGTCAAATGTGAAGTATTGATGAAAAAGGATGTAACCACATGCCATTGTAGAAGTGCTCACATTATTGTAATGACACAGATCCATTGCTTATATAAAAAGTTGTTTGGATAGCACAGTCTGTTGGCAATCCATCAGAAGATAGTCATTTGAATTAGTAAACTGTCTGCACGTGTGAAATTTGAGGAATTTCCCCCATGTAATGTTTATAAGCATGCACACTATGAAATTTAAAGGATTAAGGGTATAAGTCTTTACAATTCAGGAAAACATACTGTTATTGCTTATTTCTTTTATTTCCAACCATTATAGAACAGTATCGGAAAAGGGTTTGAGATAACAACTGGTACTTGAAAAATATTGTCAGAAAACTGTGTAAATTGTTACAAACTGAACTTGGTGACAGTGTTACAGACAATGAGATCACTTGGACTCAGGAAGGGGAACATCACACACCGGGGCCTATCATGGGGAGGGGGAAGGGGGGAGGGATTGCATTGGGAGTTATACCTGATGTAAATGACGAGTTGATGGGTGCTGACGAGTTGATGGGTGCAGCACAGCAACATGGCACAAGTATACATATGTAACAAACCTGCACGTTATGCACATGTACCCTAGAACTTAAAGTATAATAATAATAATATAATAATAATAATAAATTAAAAAAAGAATTAGATGAGACTATATTTTAAATGACATAAGCAGACAAAGATTCTATAGTTCAGAAAATATAAAGTGAACAATTATTCTAATCCATAAAAATCAACAATATATCATGTTGATAAAGTGAATATGTGTTTGTCAAAATTTAAGTAAAAAATTTTTCTTTAGTCTGGTAAATGTATAATTTGAATGGTTTGTATATTCATTTTCCATTTTTAATTCTTCAAGGAATGAAGGTAGAGATTGGAATAAATAAACTTCATCATTTTAGAAATTTTGTTTCATATTTCAATGCCCACACATTACAATGAGGAAAGATCTGGCCAAGTCTCATGTATATAATTTTAAAATGAAGCAAACCTGATGTTTGTAG